GGGTGAGCTTGGGCTCATAAGGAGCACATCTTTCAAAGGCTTTTAATTACTCAATTTAGACCTGTTTCTTTAAAATAAGCAGGGAACTGAGTCACTAATATGTAAATATGTTCAGAGAAAGCTCTGGGAAGTACCAAAGTGTTTTCTGAGATCAGAAGTTCTGCAAACACCACTGCAAGCTGGCTGAAGGGAAGGGTTCTGCTGGAATATGAGCTCTTGGCAGCCTGAAACACAGGGAATGAATCGGCATCCTACCAGTTTCTTTTTTCCTGGAATGCAGATTATGAAATCTTTGCCTTAAATTGTGTGCATTTTTTTTCCTCCATTTTCTTCTGTTGTGTGGAATATGAGGAGTAAACCTCGAGTTAGCCCAGTGTGAAAGAGGCAGGGAGCTGTCTCTGTAGTCACTGAAGAATCCAATATTGGGAACTTGGGCTGAATTAGGTACATTGCATCTTTTCAAACCAAATCAGCTTTTGAAACCCTAATCCAGGGCTTTCCTGTGGAGTTGGCCACCATCAAATACAGTCAGTAGACTTTGGTTGAGTAGAAGGGGGGATTTATTCCATCTAATTTTCTGTCATGAGTCTCCCTAACCCGAACTAGGTACTTAGACCTATATCCCCATAGCACCATTATTAATAATAATGTTATTAGTCCATTAGATCCAGACTAACTCTCACAATGTTTGTCAGTGCTCTTGACCAGCAGAAACAAATCTCCTCTGGCAAGGCCAAGTCCTGATGCCTGCTGCTTGTGAGAACGTGCTGTGCTCTCTTATCTGAGCCCACTGAGCAGAAATGGAATAACTCAGAAACACATGGCAGCAGCCCGGCCTTTTTCACTGCTATCTCACTGTTATCTTAGAAGGAATGAGGCTGAATGTGTCTCTCAAGTATCAAAGAGGTAGAAGAGCAGAGACCTGTGAGATAAAATTGGTGAAGATCACATTAGTGACTGAAATAAGAGAGATTTCTGGAGAAATAAGTTCCCTATAGCTGTGCTCACTTAGTGCATCCCTGGGCACCCAAAGGGAAAAGTGGAAGGGACAAAATAAGAGCAAAAAATTCCCACTCCACTTTTGTGGCTCGAGTGCCTTGGGCAGCAAATCACTCGTTGTAGGAAATTCCTGTCAAATCGCATCTAAAACAGCACATGGTGTGTAATAATTCTTGAGTGCTGAGGCCAGGTATGGAGACAGAGCTGATAAAAAGAAAATAAAATAATTACTAGGCCTAATTATCATTAGTGTGCAGATCTAAACCTGCCAGGCACAGGCTTACCAGGGAATTAAGTTCTTAAAAGAAATAGTTCTCATTGATCAGCAAATGTGCTCCCTGCACGCATTATTTGCACATTTTATGCTCACAGTATTCCTTAAATACTAATGTATTTTATGAGCTATTGCCAGCTGCAAACTTTAAATCTTCTGTGCTATAAAATACATAAGCATGGGTAAAAAAAAAAATTAAATTAAAAAACAATGCAATCCCATCAAAGTGAGTGGGAAAGCCACTAGGTGAGCTGGGTAGAGCTGAGGCTCAAATAAGAAGCAGACTAAAAATTTGGCTCTGTGTGAGCATTTCTGAAACGTTCATTTGTTCCTTCTTTATGGGGACAATAAAGAAAAAGAAAAGTCAGCAAGAAAACCACAATTCCTATACAGGAAACAATAATGAACACTGGAAATCAAGCTGGGAGAACAGAGAGATTTTAAATATGGACCAGAGGCTCAGAGCTCCCCAGTGAGTTTATACCAGAGCAGTTGTGCTGGTTTCAGTGGATTTCCTCACGTTCAGGGCTGAGTTTTCTGGGCAATGCTTTGGTTATCCTTGATTCCTGTAGATTTGGTGTTAAGGGAGTTACTGGCCAGAATTTTTGGCAAATTAACACCTTATATGACCTTATGAGACTCTTTGTAGAAGGTAAATTTGTAACTGGCACTCTGTTATTAACCACAGAAAATAAAATATTGATGGTCTCTAGGACAGAAGCAATTTCCAATCAATTTTTTGTGCAATAGAAAAAAAACCAAGAAAGATTTGATCTTGCATATTCTTACTTACCAAAGACAGTTGTCTACTGAAACTTTGGACACCATAATTTTGAGTGCTGAATCTGATTTCCAGAGGCAAAAACTACTCCTTTAATAATCCATCTGTGCAAAAGAGTCAATCACCATTAATGGCTTCCAGGCAGTGTTTGGAATAATCCTTTTAACACAACCTTGGTCAAGGCTTAGCTGGATTCAGAGTGGCCTTGGCACCCTCTGCCAATGCCAAGAGTTTTGTGGAGGTGCCACCAGGTTGTCACCAGGGGCTGTGAACGAGAGGAAAAACAGGTCCTGCAGGGAAAATTCAGGAATGTGCAGGGGGAAAGAGGCAGTGAAGGAGCCACAGCTACAGAGGTTTTGTCAAAGTGGCAGAGCAGGAAAATGCTCTGTACAGCACCAGGCTGGCAGGAGATGAGCACACAGCAGCTCAATTTGTCAAGGGCTCAGGAAGGATGCTGCAAACCTGCTAAGTGAGAGCCTGGGTAGGAGATTTAGCTGTTTGAATGGCTACAAAAAGCCCTTTGGGACAGCGTGAGAGAGAGAATCCTCTAGACTGACATAACCTAAATATACAGACCTAGAAAGGAGATTCCATGACAAAAAACCTTCTCTGGTTTGTTTGTGCTTTCAGGCTTGAACAAGAGGAAGGATGATGGTGTTGTCCTGAGCAATCAAAGAAGGAAGTGCTTTAGGGGGAAGATTTAAGAGCTGAGTTGTAGCTGTGCAGAGCTGTCAGGAAAACATCCAAAAGTTATCAGAGCTGGAGGCTGACATTTTAGACTAAATGGAAAAGTGGGAAAAGAGAGAAAGAGCTCTGAACTGTCAGCATTGATGTGATTGCTGAGCAGGAATGGGTTGTGTCACTGAGAAGGGAAAGAAACCTAAGTGGGGGGGAAAAAGTTTCCTAAAAAAAATGAGCTGGAGGACCGAGACCAAAGGACAGGCAGGACAAGTGATTGGAGAAATCATAGTAAAATTATTGGAGGAGATAGTCTCAGGAGCCAAGGGAATATCAGATTTTCAGGCTTCTGATTAAATAGATCAAAGGCAAGAAAGGATGAAGTTGAGAAGCAATTTCAGTGAAAGAAAATCTAGGCAGGGATTGTGGAGCTTTGAGGTGAAAGGAGTAAGGCAGGTGGGGTAACAGGGAGGATCAAGAGTTTATTGTGAGAGACAAACTGGCCTCCAATAGATACAAAAATAGCAAAGGAAAAAGATTCATAATTAAAGCTGAACTAACTAGTTTTTGTACATCATTTACTCAGGAAAGACAATATGTTGTAAAAGTTGGTAACATTCATTATGTCTGTCAATTTAATGTAAAATATACAAGCTTTTCTTCAGGTATGCACATAAATCACCAAATCCTGCCCTTTATTTACAGGCTGTTGGTGAAGCAGCTCGAGTTGGTGGGACATTTATAAATTTTGTGCTGGCAGATTTCTCTGGTGACGTTTCAGCCTGTGGATTGCACACAAACCACAGCTGCTGTTCATTCATCATGTACAAGTGCCTGTCCTTAGCAGGAAGACCTCCAAGGATCTCCTCAGGATTCAGAGCAGCTTCATCAATCCCAGAGCCAGTGTCAGCTCCTTTGAGCCAGGATTAAACAAATGCCCTTTAATGACACTTACCTTCATTGGGATCTGGAAATGCTATTTTTCAGGTTGTCTGTGAGATCAGAGTCTCCAATTCTTTCTTTTCAACACCCAGGAGATCAGGTTGTTTACAGGAATTTAGTTCTAGCTGGAATCCCTAATCCAAATATATCCAGATTTTGGCAGTCATGACCATAAATCTCCCATATGCGAGTCTGGATCCTGATTTTGTGGCCAAACCTTTTCTTTAAGCAGCAGGCTAAAAATCCATATGCCAAACAATTCTAGATTTTGTCCTATTTGGAAATCTCAGTTAAACTTCTCACTTGAGTGAGCCCCATCCATCAGCACCTCTATGGATTTCTTACACTTAATTTGCTTTATTTACCTTTGTTTACCAGAACTGAAGTGCTGCAGGGAAGGGGCCAGGCAGGTGTTGGCATCTTGGTGCCTGCATTGCTGCAGAATTCAATATTGGCATCAATTCAAATGATAACAAGAAAGAAACAGATAAAACAAAACAGCCTTATCAATAATTATATTAAAGTTGATTTGCCCTAAAAGGCAAATAGATAATTAAAAATTTTAAAGGGCACAAACCAGCATCCAACATTGACCATTACATTGCTGTGGTGCTGACAAAACTATCAATTGCAATATTACAATATTTTAAGTGTACAGATACAATAAATATTAGACAAACATTTGCCAAGTGAGTTTTGATGTGTCTTTCCCCTGGTTTTATAGGCTGTGAGCTACAGCTAATGTTAGATTTGCTCCTAAACTCTCCTTTCTGAATTTCTTTACTGCCTTGGTATTATCAGAGTGCCCATCTAAAACAGAATTCAAGTGCCACATTCACTTTATTTAATAAAAACCCCAATATAAGTCTTATGTTTCTGTAGCAATATTGATAGGATACACCAGGCCTTTTACTCCCTGGTATATTCACAAACTATAAGGCTCTATTAGGGTGTTATTTTTCAAAATTGTTTGTTTGCTCTTTGCTTGTCAGGATGTGCAGGGAGGGAGGGGCTGGGATTTCCATGTGCTCCTGCACAAATATATCTGATGGAGGTGTCTAAGAGGGAAAAATCAGGATTTATCCTCTCACCACATCTTCCAGAATTGCACCACAAAGGTCTGTGACTGCCCCACGTGACATTTTGGGGTTTCCTCTTGGAGATTTCTGCATTCACAAATAATTGCTTCTGGACCCAGATAATCAATATTTAACTACTGGCAATGCTCGTGCACTCAACCAGCGATTTGACTGGGGTGGAAAAAACCCAAACAGTTGAAAGATGTGTGATTTGCATGGCAATACTCACCCCCATCTCCTCCTTTAGGTCTGTAAGAATTCCTGCCATTTGAAGCTGTCCTACCGAGTTGCCATGGCAACGAGAAGAAGGAAAAAAAAAAAAATAACCCCATCAGATCTGAAGATTGCAGTTTACAATTACTGTTCTTCACTCCTCGGCCTCAGTTGCTCCAGTTTAGTTTGCAATCTCACTCAATCTGTCCGACTGTACCTTGGTGTTCGACAGCCTCCACCCCTGTGCCCTCTGTCCCTGGATTCCTCCTGCAGGACACAAGGTTTCCTCAAAATTTTCTCTGAATGTTAAAAGACCATGACATCCAAACCCGACCTTGGGGGAGCAGAAAAAAAAAAAAAAAAACCAACAAAAAAACCAACAAACCAGATTGACTCCATTTTTTTCTATCTGTTGACTTGTTGCTATTCAACTGTTCAGAAAATATTTTGTCTGTGGGTTAGTATTTGTATATGTATGAGTGTATGTATATATATATATTTATATAGAGAGAAGAGTTATACCACAGGTTTAGCTTTTATAAAATGTTCATCTGGAGCGTGAGAAGGGAGGGAGCAGAATAACAGAGCCACAGATGAATTGTAGCTGTCCCACCACGCCTAAACCTGCTGGGTTTGCTGTTCAGAGCGTGGCCAGGAGCAGCCAGCCCGTGGCCACCCCGGGCTCTGCCATGGCCCTTCTCGTACCTCAGGTTCAGCAAACAAGAAATGCAAGTCCCCAGGGCTTGTTCCTGATCTGAGCTGGCCCCAGAGGGAGCTGAGGATGCAGGAGGAGCAGCCGGGTGTGAGCCATGCACAGCTCAGCCCGAGTCGAGGGGCTGGAGGGCTGAAACTGTCACTGGGACAGGTGACAAAATGTTTTCAGCAGCTCTGCAGGTGAGATGAGTCCAAGCGAGGCTCAGCGTTTGCCAGAGCACTGCTCTCTGTCTCTGTGCCAGGAGCAGCACAGGTGCCCTGTTCTATAAATCCCCTCACAAACACACAGATCCATCGTTTTGGGTATATATATACATACATACACACGTACACACAGTTTCCAGTGAAGAGTAACAAGAGCATTTCTTTGTGTGTGTGAACTTACCACACCTGTTTGCAGACATGGGAAAAAAGGGTGTTTGTTCTCTATGAATATGGATCCTTTTTTATTCTGTGAGCATGTAAGGTCAAAAAAAAAAAAAAAAATTCCTTCTAACTGTACGAAGATGATCATCTTGTTAATAAACTGTAAATGATCCATCAAAGCTCACACCAAATTTTTATAAAATTAACACAAAAAGTATACTAGTGACAGACTGTGGCTTTTATTAGAGCTTGCCAGTAACTAGGGTAAGGTAAGTGTCTTAGAATATTTTAATAAACTTGCTTATTTAAAGTTTAAACAAGAAAGCTTCCTTATGCAATAGAACTTTGCAGCTGCATTCTTTAGTTAGCATTTTTACAGTACTTATGGGTCATACTCAATGGCATCCTTACCACAGTGAGATTATGAGCATATCTTCCACACCACCTATATGTTTCAATAGTAAAGATTTTTGGAAACATTAAAAATAAGTCCAGACATACATTTAGTTTCCCATAATGCTACACTAGATATTAAATGTGTGTTGGTGGTTAAAATTTGCTGTACAATAGCTTTTCTCCGAATTCCTGTATTGTACCAAATATGAAACAGGTCCTTTTTTTTTTCCTTTCTTCCCTTTTTTTTTTTATTTTAATCAAAAGGAGTAATAACAACAGCGACAGAGGAAAAATGAGTTTGTGTTGTGAGCTATCCTAACGTTGGAGATTTCTTGATAAGATATGAGCTGCCTTCAGACCTGTTTTTCTCTTCCAGCTTAACTCCTGCAGTCTTGACCAAGTGAAATCTCCCCTGGTGCCTCTGTGGTCACCAAAGTGGCACTTCAGGGTCAGTGGGAGTTGGTCAGGGACACCAGGAGTGGCTTTGGCAGCTTCAGGATCCCAGCAGGGAAGTGCCAAACATTAACAGGGGCACGCTTCTCATCCTCTCTCCCTGCCCATGCCTTGTACTGACCCCATGCTGCTGCTTTGCCATCAACAACCACGTCTTTTTTTATATATAAAAAATATATATATATTATTTTCAAGCAAATTTTTCCAAAAGGAACGATTTAACTACTGTATGGCACCTCTGGAATTCCAGCGTGTATGTTCAATGAATGCACCCAAAGATATTCTGCACCCTGTGCTTTGAGCTACAAAACCTCTATCTTGAATAAAAGAAATTATATTACCCTCCCCCACAAATACTCTTTTCTACTTGCTTTTTTTTCCTCTCTCCACCCAGCCAAACCCACTTTTGGAAAGACCCCCCCTTGACTTTGGTGTCATTTCTGTCAAATGCCAGAAAAATCTGCCCTTCCCTGCTTTAAACCAAGGCTCACAGAGCATTTGGTGAATCATTCCAAGGACAGTCAAAAGAACAAAGAGAAAACTCTTCTGCCTGGAGCTAGCCTAACAAGGAGAAGACTCTTCCTACCACCCTGTGCCCAAGGATAAGATCTTTATTCTTGGCTCCACTGCAAAATTTTGATGTGCAGAGAGGTGAGAGTCTGGCTGAAGCTTTGACCCGAGGTTCATCCAAGGCTCCATTCCCATTTTCCCTTTATTTCTGCTCCCACATTAAAGCCTCCCAGCCTTTCCCAAGCGTCCCAGGCTGCACAGGGAGCCCATCCCTGGCCTGCCCGAGCCTGCCAGGAGAAGATGAAGCTGCCATGTTAATGTTTCTCCCCAGTGAGCACAGACCGTGGCACGTTGACACTGTGACACGAGCAAGGGAGCACAGCAGAATCTGAGTTTTCCTACCTGAATAAAAGGGTACCTCTGGTTCAAAAAAATGATGTCCATTTCCTGAAACAAAGGAGCAACAGTGATTTATCCATTTTTCTACGATAGAGTGAAAAAGCAGAACATTTACAAAAGTGGTTGCATTATTTTCTAATGGTTGACTATGTTTAACATTTGTTCAGCCAAGCTTGCTGTTTTTATAACATATCTCTTATTCCTACCCAGCTATTTTAGTCCCACCAACATTTACTTCACTCTGTATTTGTAGATATATAAATGCTGCCTAGAGTTGGAAAAGCAGTGAACTTGTTGATTATCATTTTGTAACATGCATAAAACTTTTTATTTGTAAAAGTCATTTCACTTGAAAAGGCAATGTGCTGTTGAAACAAAAATTGGGAATAACAATCAGAGAGAGGAGTTTATTAGCAAGAGAAAGGTCTCATTTTTTTGATGTGCTTGCTAATTGAACCCTGGTCTGTGCTCCTCGTGTGTGCTTTTCCAATATTTATTAATGTCCATTTTGTTCAGTAGCTGTAGTTCTAAAGAGTGAAAAAAAGATAGATTAGCTGAATTTCCTGCTGGGTGTGAAGGAAAATTAGGTAAGGGTGGAACACTGGTAACATTCCCTGAGCCCCATTCTCATCATGTTTACACTGCTGGAAATCAAACAGCAGCTCCATCACCAGAACTGAGATTCAATTAATCAGATTTAGGTGAAATTTTACCTCCCCACATGTTGCTTTTTGCTGGTTGGCTGTGAACAGGAAAGCTGCAATATTTGTCACAGGATTGCTGAGTGCTCACACAGGATCAGAAGTCTGGGGTTGGGACACCCACAGGTCACTCCTTCACTGAGCATCTGGAGGTGTCTCTAAAGCTCCCTGAGTAATTTCATTTAACCTTTATCTGAAATGGATGGGGTCAAATAATTTATCCTGTTCTCTTACATAGTCATTTTTTTGGATCACTATAATGTAAACCTCATTTATTAAATTATGGAGTTACAAGCAGTTTGTAGGGCCCTATCTTAAATGCCTTATCACTACAAAAAAAAATCTATTATAGTGACAACTTTTGTCTTTCCTTTGCAAAGGCCTCTTGTCTGAAAAACTGAGAAAGCTGCCAATATTCTTCTCAAATTAACTAATTGTTACTAATTCACTCGGAGCAGAATTCTGTACACAAATAATTTTACATCACTTGATCTAAAGGCTAAGTTGCTTTTGGAATAGGTTTAAAAATGTTATTTAATTTACAAAATTAATGATCTTAAAGTCACATTGGCTTGAGAACACCAAGTCTAAAGCAAAACTCTGCTCCTGTCTTGCCTTCATTGCATCTCTAGAAACTCTGTTGTCTGAGAGATCCAGTCCAGTGCTAACACAAAGAAAAATAAAAGAGCCATTATTTCCTTCCAGTTAACTCCACACTCCATAATCTTTAGAAGTAACATGCAGTGCACATTAGTAATTATCATTATAACTATTCTCTTTAAGGCAGATAGAGCTGAGTCTTTCCTGCACCAAGCACATCACCCACTGCCTGCCCTGCTCTGCCTCTCACCAGGACACACGAGCTGGTTTGGGTTTGTCCCAGTGGGATGGATGCACTCCCCCACTCTCAGTGGAAAGTTTCTAGTTGCACAACTGCTATGTGTGTATATATGTAGATATATAGAGATATACACATATAAATATATATATAATATATATGCAGGTGGGAGGACATTTATACAACATGGGGACTTGGAATAAGCAGTTTAATTCCCTCAATTAGGGATTAATTCATGAGATAAGGGACAGCATGGGCTACATGTACTGAACCAGTCTGATTAAAAGCAAATAAAAAAGGCAAAAAGCCCACACACTAAACTCCAGGCTTGTCTCAACTCTCCTGTTGTATTTCTGCTACCTTGAGCTGTCCCCTCATACCACAATTATATCATTTGAAGATATGCATCATTGTTTACTGACTCATTTTTAGTTGTCTGTGGATCAGCAGGTCACCAATAATGGAAGGAGGTGGGTTTAGAACCAGAATTCCTCATTCCCGAGCTTTCAGTGGGACAGCTGTTTGGGAAGGTTTCATCCAGCCTTGAACATTACACTTCTCCTCTGCATCTGCAAGTGGCTGCACTCCTCAATTTGGGGTGAAATGAATGAAGTCTAGAGCCAGGCTGGGTGCTTGGATGTGCACACACCCCCTGCCTGGGGCTGAGGAATAAATCCGTGTCTGGGGGACTGTGATGGGGAACTCAGCACAAAGGACTTGTGTTGTTACTGCCCTTTCAGCCAGAACCCTCCTGTAAAAACACATCTACCCCATAACAACCTCTGTCCCTTTAAGTTACCATCAAGATTATTTTTATGATTTTTTTTTCCTTTTTTAATAGTCCAAGCAAGGAGGAAAATATTTTGTTTGATTTTCAGGATGCTTAATCCAGCTACTTTTCCAGGTAATCATTCCTTTGGGCCCTAGTTGCTGAATCGCTTGCTGTTTCTGAGGTGTAAATAAACGTTTTGATTTATGACGTGGTTGCAAAGAAACTTGTAATTTATTTGTGAAATGCTCAAATAAAGGATGTATGGGCTTTTACCTTCTGTCTGGACATAGACCTCACTGCAGGAATGGAGGGTCACAAATTCACCTCCAGGCTGGCAAAGGAATGGAACAACTTATGTTGAACATCAGAAACCCCAAGATGTTTTCAGTGAAGGAGATAAATTACAGCCTTCACCTCCCATGATGTGGATTGAGAATGAGAATCAGGAGCTTAGATAGGTCAGCAGAACCATAGAGAAGGGTTTGGGTTGGGAGGGAACTTAAAAACCATCTTTGAATGATCTAAAGATCAGGGACACCTTCCACCAGACCAGGCTGCTCAGGGCCCCATCCAGCCTGGCCTTGGACACTCCAAGGGTGGAAAAAGTTTTGCTCACACAAGAAAGCAGCAGCTGAATATTCAGGTAACAACAATAATTTGCTGCCTAAAGGCCCATTTCCATTAAAGAGGGTGCCTGGAGCCAAATCCAATGTCCCCAGGCTGGACTGCAGCCAAGAGCTCTCCTGGATTTTTGAACATTTCCTTCCTGCCTCACCTGGTCACCTTCCCCCACCCACCATCAGCTCAGCTTAGAGAAAACAGACACAAGAACTGCACAGACAGCACAGAAAAGGGCTGAACAAATGCCTCTCTGCCAGGGAATTCTTGTTCCAGCATAAAGCCACAGCCTGCTGGCTTTCTGAAATTCCTGCAGGTTATATTTTAGATCTTCTAGGAAGTTATCTAAAGTGACAGAGCCACATAAAGGTAGAATATCTCTGAAAATAGCCTTTTAATACCCGTGAGAATAGAGGAAGCTGGGGAGGGAGGGCAGCAGTTGAAGGAAATATTTGAGTACAAGCCCCAGCAGCTTTCTGTCACCGAGACCCACCTCTAGCTCCTGCCTGTTGCTGATGCTTTATCAGCTTTGGATCTAAAGGGGTTTTTCATGTGGTCCATAATAAGTAGAGGATGAAAGAGCCTACATGAAGCTTGTGGTGTAATTGGGCAAAAGGTCACTCATTACCTGAAAGCCACAGCAAACATGTGTCACCTCCTTTGGTCTCAGCTGAGATCGTTGTCCTAAACTAATGCTGTGCCTTATACCTTGAGAGAAGGTTTGAAACAGCACAAAGTTCAATCACGAGCAATGAAGCATTAACAGAGAGAGAAAATGCTGAATGGTTTGTAGTTGGGGGAAGTTTTGTGCTGCCCTTTCAACCTTCCCGTGTCTCATCTCACACCTCTGGCTCTGGACTGGACTGCTGATAGTTGGTAACTGCACAGTTCAGCCCAGTTATGGCTTTTCTCCAGCAACAGCAAATCAGAACAATCCCTCTGCCTTCAGCACAACCCTCTTCCCTGCAGAAACAAAGCAAGGGTCACTGCTCCTGCTGCAAAGCTGCTGGGAGCCTCAACCTGCTCACCTCTGGCCGGACTCTGCTCATCCTCCTGCCAGTGCCTGCTGACCTTTGCTGCTCCCGTGCTTTCTGCAGTGAGTGATCCAGCCCAGCCCAGCCCAGCCGTGTGTGCAGCACAGCTCACTCCTCTGACTCATTTCCCACCTTACTGCTCCATATCCAGCTCTGGATGGATGCACTTTCCAAGACAGGCTGTGCAAAACAAGAAAAAGTGTTTATACTCCTTGATTACTGCCAGGTATGCTGAAAACTCAGAAAGCAAAGCATAGCTGGACAGTTGTAATTAAGTGTGTCGTATAATTAAAACCAGTGATTTTAACCTGCCTTGGGGTTGCAGTGTGCAGTATTGGCTCAGCTGGCACCAAGGGAAATAGCCTTTGGTGGGATTTATGCACCTGGTTCCCACTGGAATCATTAAAGCCCTAAGAGCTGAACGACCCCTTCCCCAGCTGATAAAATAATTATATAACTATAAAGTATTTCCTTTGGTTTTAAGTCATCATGAGCTAATACAGGCACTAATTTTTTTTTCCTACATCTCCAAGGTAACTTAATTGACATCATGTTTCATACTGAGCAAAACCAGTAAAACCTCCAGAGAACAGGGGCCCCAATTAACAGATTCCCAGCCTTCCATATCCTTGATTGCTGAAAAGAAAAAGAACAACGTGGGGGATGTGTAATTCATGTGGGGATCACAGAGAATGTGACAGAGCCCATAGATAAAGCACACTAGAAACCATATGATAGAGTAATTAGAAAAAAACCATTGCTACAAGACAGTGTCTAAAGGAAAGTTAGACTTTTTTGTGTCATCAAACTCACGTGTACAAGCTGTGACCATTAACTGCATCATGTTAGATCTACCCCAGTGCTGAGAGCCCAGTCACAGAGCCTGGCAAATTCTGTCGTTGTGACTAATGCAGAAACTGCATTAATCCATGTGAAAGTGGCTTGCTCTTGGATCCTGCATAGAGAAGTCAAAGCAGGAATGTGTCTGGAGAGGAATCCTTGGTGCTGAGCAAGCCCTGTGTACCCTCAGCCCTGCCCAGAGCACCCTGGCACTGCAGCCAGGTGGAGATTGACCCTCCTGCAAGGGCAGCCCCTGAGCTGTGACAGCCAAGGAGCCACAGTGCAGGGACACCAGAACCCGTGCCAGGCGCTGGGCACTGAGCTGGAGCCTCCCCAGAGCCCCCCAAGGGGCTGGGCTGCCAGTCAGCATTGGCACAGGGTGGTCAGACACCCAGGAAATGAAATTACAGCTCTTTGTGGAAGGTTTTTTTTTCCTTTGGCTGGACTTTCCCCCCTCTTCCTCACCTCTGGTTTGTGTGCACTGATGTTCTGCCATCACTCCTGCACTGGTGCTCTGCTTGGCTTGTGGAAGACCCAGCAGGGCTCTCTCTTTCACCAGTTCTGTAATAAATCTATTTTTAATTGCAGTTGTCTGTCTTCACTCACACCTGGAGAGCTCAGCCCTTCCTCACTCTCCTAATTCCCTTTTTCTGGCACCAGGTTCTTTGTTCAGGTTCCCAGTACCTGAAGCAAAAGTAAATGAGTGCTGTACTCACATTTCTTCTGGGCTTCAGTGGATGCAATCCAAGGCTCGTTTTCTTCAGCTCTTCCTTCAATTTTAGGCAAAGTCCTCTTGCCACTGCAGCTCTTCTTCCTGCTTAAACTAAATAAGTGAGGGAGGCATTATGAGTGGTTAAGCACCATCATTTAATGAAGATATAGCTCATTTAAAACAGAGCTAAATAATTAGGTGAACTAGATTTATTGTTCAAATCAAAGTAATAAAATATGTATACATATAAATATAAGCTGTTAAGGTGATGAGCTTCATTATTACACACACACAGACAAAATAATAGGCTATTTTTAATTGCTTATTAAACAGTGAATGCTCATTAAAACCTCGGTTCATTGGGAAAAAAAAATATCATGCAATTAAACTATAGTGCAGAATAATTAATATGGGAATTGGGGCAATTCTAATACCTTTAAAGAGGTGGAAGTGGGGACAGTTGGCAGCATGGGTTTGTGCCACTCATTTGGATTGGCCTGGCAGATGGATTTCCTTCTACTTTAGGGTTTTGAGAAGGGTCTATTTTTTGGTTTCAAAGGAAATAGAGGCGAATGAAATGGGAATTTTTTTTCTGTGGGTCTTCACACATAGATAAAGATAAAAGATAACAGATCCATCTACTTACCCCAAAAAACACCTCTCCGTTTTTTTCTGTGCAGTCCCTCCCTTGGCACTCTACATCTTTCCTTTAAACAAACAAGTTTGAAGTGACCTAAGATTTGACAACAGAATTCCCAGTCTGCTCAGCTCCTCAGCCATGGAGCATTTTCCCTTTAAGAATTCCCTGCAAGTCTGTTCTTCCCAGAGGCTGCTGTGCCATGAACCACTGTTAAAAGCTGCCCAGTTTCTTGTGAGTCAGAAGACATTCACCAGCTATAAACCAGACTTTCAGAGCTTCCCCCGATTTTGCTGCATTTCTCATGACTGAAATGAAAGAAGAATGTTATATTTCTCAGGAAATACCACTGAAGGATCCTGCTAGACTTTTTTTGTTGTTTTTAAGTCCTCAATCCAACAATTTTCCTGTTTAGAAGCAGGATGCCAGAGGAGTCAAGAGAGTGAAAATTTGCCCCTCATTTCTGATAGCACAGCATCCCACAGAGAGGTAAATGGCAGAGATTTACTAAGAACAATTGTTTACACTCAAACCCAGGATGGGTTTCAGACTAAAAGCCAAACTCAAGTTTGATGCTGGTGCTCCCCCCTGGAAGCCTGAGCCTGGTTGTGCAGTTTGGAGGGAGTTCACAGAGCAGCCAGCTCTGATTTCTGCCCTGTGGAGGTCAGTCTTTCATTACATAACACAACTTCAATATTTGCTGCTCCCACCAGAGCTGGAGATGCTCTCAGCACCTCAAGCTTGACTGGCCTATGGTTTGGGGAATCCATTTGAGTCTTGCTTGACACATTTATACAGCTGGAGCATTTACACCCAAGCACAAAACTGCAAAATCAGCTCAGCTTCGATGCTAGAATTTTTGTCCCAGTTTGCAGAGCTGTAAATTACTGTGCAGGAGGGCATGCTCTGCTCTGATGTGGGAGCACTGTGTTTTCAGCTGTGCTGAGGAGCAGAACCCATTCACAGGCACTCATTCAGGAGAGCTATCACTGGCCGAACACAGTGGCTTCTTCCAGTCCCTCCCTTTGTATTTCGTTCCGTTATTTCTCTGCTAATAAATAAAAAAAATCCTGTTGATTTAGGGCTGTGAGAGATGAAAGAATTCCTTTTTTCCATGTCAACACTGTGCAGTGCTGATGGAGTCTGGCAGCAGCTGAATCCTGGCTCAGGCTCCTGCTCTGTTTTCCTTATTAACATTTTGCTTGGCTGGCCCTGCCAAAGTCCCCTGGACATCTCTGAACTCTGAGAATTGTTGCAAATATTGCAAGGTCCAAGTGTGAAATGAACTGCACGGAGCCCCCTGGGAACCTGTGAACAGAGAATTACCAATAACCTCGGGTTCACAGCAAACAACAGGCACCTGTTCAATGGCAAGCATGTTCTTAAATTGACACCCAATTATCGCCGCATATTTTAGCATAATGTTTGCAC